GCTGAAGTCAATTATCCTCTTAGTTGCCATGTTAAACTTTCTAAGTCACTTCCCAGTTGCCTTCTCCACTCTTTGCTCAAAGGTCTACAGAGTCTTATCTTCCACTGCCAAAAGATCACGCAAGAAGCAAGATATTCAGATACTTTCCCATTCTGAACAAAGAAGTCTTAAACCAGTCTAACTTCTTAGCATCATTTGTAAGATATTTCCAATCTTTGTGGACAACTCATCACACTCTGAAACAGACTTGTGTTTCAATAGGCTCTGACTGTTCTCTTCTAAAATTGCCCTTTCTCCTCATTCAGTGCATTCAAAACTCACCCATCCTTTGGAAGCAAGTTCACGTGCTACTACAGACATGAAATCTTTGGTACACCATCTAGAATAAACTCTTCCTACACTAAAAGCCAGTATTACTTATGTAACCCACTGTTAATAGCAGCTGAATTTTACTAGCAGTCACTATAATCCAAGTACTGTACTAACTTGTTTTTGGTTTGGTAGCCACCATAAAAGCAGGAAGTTACACTTATTTTATAATGAGGATTTTGAAGTTGAAAATGGTTAAGTAACTTACCCAGAGTTAGGCAGCTAGTACACCAAAAAGCCTGAGGACATACTCTGATCTGATAGCTGTGTGATTTTATTATATTTTTGTTTATCTCTAATAATATCTGGCATCATGTATGACACACTATAGGTAGAAAGTGAAATAAGCCAAACAGATAGTTCTGCAATAGATTCAAAAGGGTAGAATCTAGGTTAAGGAGTGGCCTAAGGGGAAAGGGGAGGGTCTTTGGCACTCAAGATTATGAGGCCAACAGACAGAATCAGGAATTATCAAGGAAAATAAAAAACAAATATGTTTTCTGAACTACAATCTACCCCGTTTGGATAACCAATTAAAATGAAAAGGACAAAATAATAATGGTTATATTTAATGAGGACCACTATTAAAAAAAAAAAAAAGATGAGAGACCCTCAGTGGGAGAGAAAGAATAACATATCTTTGCATTTAACAAGGAATTAAACTAATCTACCGAACTGATAGTCACTGACTTTCAGCTATTGGAAGGACATTACAGGTCCAATCATCTAATTAGGTAATGATTTTAGAAGGCTCTCTCAGTTCTTCCTTGAATTTGAGCACTCCAAGCTGGTTTCATTTTGTTCAGGTCAGTTAAAAACAATTCTAAACTATTTCAATAAGTTAAGAAAAATCTTTATTTTTAATGAGTTTCAGTAACTAGAAGTGGCATCTATGAAACTGAAAGTGAAAGTTCAGGTTTTGAGCTTCGTGTGAGCTGAGATCAGTGAGTTGAGCAGGTAACTCTGCCTCTGTATTCCCAAACAGCTCAAGGGAAGGGCAGGAGACAGGATGAGGCTTTTCTAGGGGCTTGGAGTGGATAAAATGGTGAAGCTCTGAAGCTCTAGCCATTGGCCTGGGTTCCTCCTGGTCTATGCCTAGGATGGGCAGATAAGAGTATCCCTTTGGGCTCGCCTTCATCCTTTACCCAGCAAACTCCCTCGAAAAGCATTTCTCAGAGCAGTCTGCACAGCACGGTTCCTTAGACTGTACACAATGGGATTGAGGAGAGGGGTCACCACAGTATAGGTGACAGCAATAAGCTGATCCCGCTCAAGAGAGTAGCTGGCTTTGGGCCTTAAGTACATGAAAGAGGCACAACCATAGTGAATAATGACCACAGTGAGGTGTGAGGCACAGGTGGAGAAGGCCTTCTTCTTTCCATCAGCAGAGGGGATCCTTAGGATTGCTGCCAGGATATAGGCATAGGAGATAGCGATGAAGAAGAAAGAGACTAAGAGGACCAACAGGCTGAGGATGAGAATCCCCAGCTCACTCAGACCTGTATCACCACAGGCTAGGCTCAACACGGGTGGTGTGTCACAGAAAAAGTGCTGGATTTCATGGGAGCTGCAGAATGAGAGGCGGAAAATGACTAGTGTCATCCCCAACCCAAAAAGGTATCCACTCAGGAAGGAGGTACCAATCAGCTGGGCACAGAGGGTCGGATTCATGCAGCTGGCATAGTGCAGTGGGGCACAGATGGCCACATATCTGTCAAAGCCCATGACAGCCAGGAGAAAGCAGTTAGTACAAGCCCATGAGGCAGAGAAGAACATCTGTGTAGCACAACCCACGTAGGAGATGGTCTGGCCCCCCATAGCCAGGCCAGAAAGCATCCTAGGGATGATGCCCAGGGTGTAGCAAGTCTCAGAAAAGGATAGGAAGGCAAGGAACAGGTACATAGGGGTGTGCAGATGGCTGTCCAGTCTGATGACTATGATAATGAAGACATTGCTAGTCAGGGTAATGAGATACAGAGAGAGGAACAAGGCAAAAAGCAGGAGCTGTAGCCCTCCAAAGCTGGAGAAGCCCAGGAAGACAAAACCCCTCCAAGAGGTTCCATTGGTCTGCCCCATCTTGAAGGAAATTCCTGATAGATTGACCAATTCCTTTCACCTGGCCAGTAGATACCTAGCTTCTTTAAAAGGCAGGATGAGATGGATTTTCTTGTCTTTGTGTCTGTTGTAACTTGAAAAGGAAGCTCTGATTTAGATTACAGTGAAACCTCAGAAAGATGTTTGTTATATTAGACACATAAATGTTTGGATGCTTTTTCAGACACCTGTGCAACACACAAATGTATAAATGCATTTTCACATGTATGCAGAAGGGGACTTCAAAGGTTCATCAAAAGAATTGCAATGCAAATTTATTTTTGTGCCAAAAAGCTTTAAAATCTGTCCATTGTTTTTATTTATTTATTTTTTTGGAGAGGTTTTTGCTATAGGGCGCATGACCTCTCACCAGACAGACAGAGAGAGACAGAGAGACAGAAAGCGAGAAATCACCCCCCATGGGGGATGGTCACACCGCAATCCCTTCTCCTCCACTCTCCTCTCGGGATCTTGGGCACACACGCACACGCGCACGGCGTGAGTTTTAAACCACCGGGTCCGGGACATGAACCGTGGTCGACTATGTGGGAGTCTAGCGACATAGCTATTACGCTAACTGCTGGTTCCCTCCATTGGTTTTTTGTAATGGGGATTTTCCATGAATTTGTTGAAGACCTCCCATGTACATGCATCCATATAAACACAGATCCTTAACCATCATACGCATTCATAGCTACATGCTTAATTACAAACACAAACATGGCTACATGTACACAGGCACACATACAGAACTCACATGTAATTATGCACATTTGGCACTTTTTTTTTTTTTTTTGAGAGGTTTTCACTATAGGGCGCGTGCGCTTGCCAGACAGACAGAGAGAGACATAGAGACAGAAAGCGAGAAATCACCCCCCAGGGGGGATGGTCACACCGCAATCCCTTCTCCATTCTCCTCTTGGGATCTTGGGTATGCACGCACACGCGCCCGGCATGAGTTTTAAGCCCCCCATGGGGGATGGTCACACCGCAATCCCTTCTCCTCCACTCTCCTCTCGGGATCTTGGGCACACACGCACACGCGCACGGCGTGAGTTTTAAACCACCGGGTCCGGGACATGAACCGTGGTCGACTATGTGGGAGTCTAGCGACATAGCTATTACGCTAACTGCTGGTTCCCTCCATTGGTTTTTTGTAATGGGGATTTTCCATGAATTTGTTGAAGACCTCCCATGTACATGCATCCATATAAACACAGATCCTTAACCATCATACGCATTCATAGCTACATGCTTAATTACAAACACAAACATGGCTACATGTACACAGGCACACATACAGAACTCACATGTAATTATGCACATTTGGCACTTTTTTTTTTTTTTTGAGAGGTTTTCACTATAGGGCGCGTGCGCTTGCCAGACAGACAGAGAGAGACATAGAGACAGAAAGCGAGAAATCACCCCCCAGGGGGGATGGTCACACCGCAATCCCTTCTCCATTCTCCTCTTGGGATCTTGGGTATGCACGCACACGCGCCCGGCATGAGTTTTAAGCCACTGGGTCCAGGACGCAAAACGCGGTTGACTACGTGGGAGTCCAGCGACATAGTCATTATGCTAACTGCTGGGTCCCAACATTATGCACATTTTAAACTGTATTTACACTTACCATTCACGACCATATCCAAAAATGTGTCAGTCATGCACATGCATTACAAAAACATTTGCATTTTTATAGTAACTTTGTAAATCTGCTCACCACATACATGCATATAATGACTTTTTTTCTTTTCTTTTCTTTTTGAGATATTTTTGTTATGCCATCTGTTCGTCCCCATAATGACTTTTTACATACACTGCCACGTAAGAATATTCATGAGAACACTTGCATTTTGTGTATAAGAACTTAAGGTGCAGACAGGTGCATGGCTTGATGGATATTATATGAAGACCAAGAGAAATAGTGACTTTTTTAAAGTCCCATAGAACCAAGACTAGAGAACAAGTATAGTCAGTCCTAATCTAATATTATTTTCCCCATACAATTATGAGTCTTTTCAAACACTGGGTACACAATAATTCTTTAACTATTATGGATACAGAATTAAAAATTTAAAAAGTGAGGTGAATATTAGTCATTTGTGTCTGTACAACCCCTCCTCTAAGCCATTTTACCATTTTCAAATTCCCTGGACACAATTAGCAGGCTCCTTTTGCATGTGAGTCTATGCAAATCACCAAAGGAAGAATCAAGATGCAGGGCAGGTATCCCTCAGCCCAAAGCTCAGCCATCAGGCTCTGCTGCCTCCCACAAATCTGCTGTGAAACAAAGCACAGGAGAAGTTAGCAAGGAAGGGTTCTGCACTCACCCGAGGATGCTCATAGTGAGCTTCCACAGCCATGTGCTAGACCACCTCTCAGCAAGCTCGCCCACAGGAGAAAGACCTGAGGTCCATGTTGTAAATTCCTATTCTGAGTGGAATGACATCCTCCAAACAATACCAAGAAACCTATTTTGGCACCCCAGCCCCACGAGGTGAATATTTGCTTCCATCCAAACAGCTTCTCTCTGAGGATTCCTCAATCCCGATGGGCGCTCTTTCAGGAAGCACGTCTAATTGTGCTTCTTGTCATTAGCTGGGAATAGCCTTTTGGGGAAAGCAGAAAAATCAATGTGAACCAAAAGATGCTAGGTTTATTATCTAAACAATAATTTGTATATTATGTATTAATGTTGTATTAATTCTTTTCACATGATAGATATATTTAAAACGTTATAGCAATCTAGTAAGATAGTGTTAATAGTAGTTTACATCGTATAGAAGAGGAAAGTGGCCCTGATAGAATTGAAGTGACTTTCAACTTCGAGATCACAGAACTCAGGATTTATGCTTTTAAATTTGCACTATAAGATGTTTATTAACAAGCAAAACAAGAATTCACCTCCTTCCTACTATCATCTCAAGAATTTAACGTGACCATTTCAAATATGTGTCCAGTTTCAAAGTTATTCTGAAGAATGTCCTGATCTCTATCTGAGTTCATTTCTTTCTGTGTATCATCTGTTGCTCTATTTTTTTTAGATGTATCTCTTTAAAAATAACTTTATCTTATTTCTATCCCTTCTTTTCCCTATAATATTGCAGTATCTGCAACCAGATTTCCAATCCACTTGCCACCCTGAAGTTGTCCTGAAATCTCAAAATGACTCAAAAGTCTACCTAGGTTAATCATTTTATCTGACTTATCACTCTTTTTTAAAAATTATTTATTTTTTTAACTCCATTTGTTGTTATTATCATTTTTAAATTTTGACCAGAGAGAAACAGAGAGAGAGAGAAAGGGAAAGCGAGAAAGCAAGCCTCCAGGTCCAGGACTCGAACCACGGTCGGCCATGTGGGAATCCAGTGCTCTTAACCACCATGCCACCTGTTGGCCCCTCTGACTTATCACTCTTAAAGTTCATGTTTTTCTAATATAACAATGGCAGAAATACTTGCACCTCCAATATACATCTGCACTCATTCACTGACTCAGTAGAAATAATAATGATAATTGGTAATAAGTATGCAACACTAGATACTGACTTTATTATATGGATTTAATACATGTAAGGATTGCCATTATTATTATTCCTATTTTTCACATAAGAAAATGTAGACTTAGAAACATTAAATAACTGGGGACCAGCAGATGGTGTAATGGTTACATTGCCAGACTCCCATGTAGTCAACCGTGGTTCAAGTCTCAGACTTGGCATTATAAAACACACTGGGGAGATGTGTGTGTGTGTGTGTGTGTGTGTATATGCTCAAAATACCAAGAGGAGAATGGAGGAGAAGGGATTGTGGTGTGGCCATCCCCTCTAGGGGGTGATTTCTTGCTTTTTGTCTTTCTGTCTCTCTGGTGATCACACATGTCCTATAGTAAAAAATACCCACCCCCCCCAAAAAAAGAAAAATTAAATAACTTATCCAATATATAATACAACCAAATGATGGCATAAGGGCAAGTAGACTCAAGAATCCTTTCTTAACTGTTATTCCTGGTACCCTGTGTCAGTTAGGATGATCCTAAAGAAGAGTAAGATGTGGTAACATGCATTACTTAGCTATTTTCCTTTCACTGTTAATTTAGTTGTTTGTTCAGGGATTATAGTATGCATTTTTATCATAATCTACCTAAACTTTATATTGAATTACTTCTAATAAAATACAGAAAATGTGCAATGAACAAATTGTCATAATTTTAAAATAAAGAGAAAAATATATAAGCATAATCATTTATGTTTAAACAATATTCACCATTTTTAGTGCTCTTCATTCTTTCCTGTCTGAGTTATTATGGGCTTCGTTTTCTTTCACTCTAAAGAACTTCCCCTAGTATTTCTTATAATACAGGTTTTCTAGTACATTAGCTACGTTTTACTTATTTGAAAGTGTCTTTGTTTTTCTCTGTTTGTAAAATGTAGTTTTGGTGGATATAAAATTCTTGGTTGATGGATTCTTCTTTATCTTTCAATATGCTGTTTTCTATGTCTTGGTTCTCGAATGTTTCTGGTGTGAATGTTCCCATTAATTGTATCTTTATTCCACTCTATGTAATGTTTTAGTTTTCTTTCCTTTTGTAATTTCAATATTTTTCTCTTTACTAGCAATAATTTTCTCTAATGTGCTTTCTGTGTTTCTATTATATGCGATTTGTTGAGCATTTTGAATCAGAAATATTTTCTATATACTTTAGAACATTTTCAGTATTTTTTCTTCCTCTTTTTTCTGTCTCCTGAGGTTCTAATTACCTATATGTTAGACCAGTTGTTACTGTCTCAAAAATTTGTCCATTTCATCTCTATTTTTCTTCTGTATTTTTTAGACCAAAAAATTGTTACTAATTTAGCTTCAAACTCATTTTTTCTTCTATTATCTCCAATATGCTTTTGAACCCATTTATGATCTTTTCAGTCTAGATTTTTTTACATTTTTCATAAAAAATGTTTAAATATAATCACTGTACATCTC